GCCCCATCACCCTCACATGAGAATTTTTTTCTCATGTTCAGACGGACCTTCCTATTTTTCAGCTTGTGCCTGTTGTTCTCGCCTGATCACTGGCCACCACTGCAGAGTGTCTAGCCCCAAACTCTTTACTCACTGTCCTCAGACACTTAGTCTTTCATCCAGATTGAAGAGGCCCTGCTCTCTCAGCCTTTCCTCATGAGAGGTGCTCCAGCCCCTTCATTATCTGAGTAGCCTTTCACTGGTCTCTCTTCAGTAGCTCCATGTCTGTCTTGCATTGCGGAGCCCAGCACCAGCCCCAGCACTCCAGGCCTCAGCAAGGTATTTTTCATTCTTTATTGCCCCAGCTAATGCTGTTACTTTCAGGTCTCCTAGCCTTGACTTCCAAAATCCACCTTATGCCCCTGTGCTGTCCTGACTGGGGTCGGCTGCCCGAGAGATCTTGTGCTGCAGCAGTCTCACACACTCCGCATGGATTCCTTCCTACAGACGTCCCGCGGGAAGCAACAGCGGGAATGCTCATGTGAAGTGCCAGAGGACTCGGGGCGGAGGGCCCTCTGTGGGGAATCCCCAGCTTCCACGTGCTGATAAGCCATGAAGAATTTGACAGTTCATGAGCCAAACCAGGATAATGGAGACAGAGCAGAACAGGCAAAGAACACAGAAGGAAATCAGTACTGGGAACATCCAGTCAGATTAGAAATGCAAGAAAAGTCCCCAGAAAATTTTTATTTCTACTTCCATGATGATAGAATGTAAACAGGGACTGGTGTCCCTAGACACAAATTGGAGTAACTGAATGAAATAATGAAGCAGCACTGCTCAGACCATGGGGAGGGATTTGAACATGCCACTTCTTTTAATAGGCATAATGACAAAAAGACAGTTTTAGCAACAAGAAGGCTAGGTACCTGCTTACAGGGTAAACCTTTCCCACAATGAGGCAATATCAAAGAAAGCATAAAGATCTTCCTCTGAAAATCTACCAGCAAGATAGCAAAGGCTGATATTATGGTGCAGCAGAAAATAAAACAGGTCTGTTGATACTCAGCATGAGGTAACTGAGGAGTGTACAAAAAAGTATCAAGAGTAGCAGTTCGTACTCGGTGCAGCAAAGAAGGGGAAACCAAGCTAGGAAACAAAAAAAAAAGTCGAAGTAGAGAATGGAGAATCATCTTTTCAACTCCACTCCAAATACAATCACGCAGTATAGGGATTTGAAAGATTGCAATAAAAAAAGTCTGTGGCAAAAATCTGCAAAAACTGGCATAAATTGTACATGCATATTCAACAGAAAGCCAGAGCTGAAGATGACACTGATGTGACATGAGGAGGATCAGAAGAATGGTGCTGATGTCCACAGTGATCAAAACAGTTCTGGAAACAGCATCCAGGAGATGAATTTGACCAGGGAACATCTCTGTGAGAAATCAGCTATTCATAACACTTCCTAAGTGCTACTATTTCGGCAAATTTTTCTGAAAATATCTTTATTAAATTATAGCAAAAAGGTTTACAATTAAGTACAACTGTAACTGTATATTATATACACACATTAATATCAAACTGCCGTAAAAGTTTTGGAGGGCAACACAAAATGACATTAGTAATGAATAATTGTTTCTATAATTATACTTTTGACTACTATTATAAACATATATTCTTGGGACAGAGAAAAAGCGGATAAAGACACAAGCTAAGAAAACGAAACAGCCACATTTCCTACAGCATTTTGAAAACTAAAAAGAACGGTCAGCTCCAACTGCAAATTTAGTGGCTTTTCTTCCTGAAAACAACTCTTTTAAAAACTAGCAAGCGAACCATCTCTTCATTGACTTCAGCTGACTCACAGCACCCTTAAAACAGAAGAGCAGTGGATGAACCACTCATCTAAGCCATGTGAATATGTAAAGAATTATATATATATATCACTCCTTTTTCTGGTTGATTAAATGTATTTTCAAGTTAATACAGATTCATTAAGTTGCTTATACTTATAAAGAAAATTAAATCACTGACTCTTTACTTACTTTAGTAACAAATATTCATTACATTTCTACTACAGTAAAATTCCAACCAGGCCATTGAACTAAATATTTAGAAATTTTTTCAATATAACTTACTGCTTTTCAAAAACTCTAAGTCTCACAAAGAACTATTAATATTCAGTATTTGATAACTAGACCTATATAGTGTGTATATAAATATGTACACACATAAGTATGCATGTCATATGCCATTTTGTTTGTCCCACTCAGATAACATATTACTTAAAGGCCAAAATAATTACCTATGTGAAGTACAACTACCTTATCTGTCTGGATTAAAATAAATCAAATGCCCTAACTAGTGTGCTTCCCTCTCACTGACACCAAATTATTTAAAATGTTATATATTGACACCAACGCATGCGCTGAAGCATATTGCCTGAAATTAGGAATGTTATGTGCATTAATTCTCCTACTGACAAGGGACTATTGAACTGAGAGTACTCATCTCAGTCTAGTATTACAACATCGTTGCATAAAGCATTTTGCTGTCAAGCCAAGAATTCCCCATAAAGCATTAATCTAAGATGTTCTATTCATTATCGTTTGAATTTTTTTTTTCTAAAATATGTAGCTCAGAAAGTGCTGACAAACTACTTGAAATTGTTTTTAAATGTATCACATAATTCTCTGGTTAAGGCTGACTGAAAACTAATTAAAACCATTAGGATGATGATTTGAACAAGAACAGGAAAAAACTGTCTAGATGAAACAAAGACGAAAAATTGGACACTACTGGCCTGAATCATGTTCTTAGACACAATGTTTCTCGTTGTCAAAAATCTGAGCATTTCTTTTCCTCTCTTAAGTTTCTTTGACTTGATATCCTCACTCTCTTCAGACTGACTAGTTCACTTTCTGACCCAAGTCTCTCAAAGGAAACTTCACTTCCTTTATGGGCAAGGATAGATGACATTTAGAGATCAGGGAACTCTATTTCCAAATTTAATTTCTTTTTACTTGATCATCAGAACATTGTCTTACTCCCCCACTCTGAGAGAAAGGCAGGAAGATAATAAGAAACAAGCTAAATGACACCTGACAAATAAAATTACATAAACATAGATGAAAATACAAGTTCCTACTTTGCCTGGACTTGAGTTCCGTGAGGTTTAAAAAAAAAAAAATCCATTTAAAAGTTTATGACCATTATAGTAAAGAACACAGATCTGCCAGAATCTCTTCTCTCTACCGAGAAGACTAAGTAACATAAACTAAAACCTCTTTAAAAAGTAAGTGGGGGAAGTAATGAAAAAAATTGTGATAGGAAGAACATTTCCAGTGGCATGAATGTCTGCTTTGAGAAAAAGAATATACAGCTTGTGCTGCAAGCAAGACAAGCCTTGTGTCCCCATGTATTAGCTCCAGCTTGACAGACAGGATTAAGCACTCATGAAATAGTCCAGAAAAATTTCGGCAACGTGTGCCAAGATCACTGGACAAGAGCCAGTTTAAAAAAGAATCTGCAAAAATGTTCTTTATCTGGAATGAAAAACTCAGTTGAGCCTGATGATCAAGTGCCAGAACTCAGCTGAAAGCAGCATTTGGTTACCTAGAAATTTAGGATTCCACCTCAGCCAGAGGAAAGTGAGTGGAGAGGAGAAAAGCACTTCCAACCCAACCATCAGCCCCTGGTATGATCTTGTCCACAGCACATGGCAACAAGGACAAGTCTACAGAGAAGAAGGCTGAGGGGCTTTTTAGAAGGGAATGGTGTCCAAGGCTGATTAGTGCATATTACTTATTAATGCACGAGTGACGGGTGCTTAGATTCAGGCTCCATATACAGTCACTCCTAAGGTTTCAAGCTTTTTATCTCCTAATTCCCTTATCCCAAAAATAAGCAAGGAATATTTTCTTAGGCAGGACACCTGTTAGCAGGATTTTAGGTAAGCCCCAAAGTGCAGATGATTTAAAGACCTAATTGAAATGGATGTTAATGAAATAACGGCATAACCATCAGCAACGCTTGTCACCCTTCCGGGTGTATTTAAATGCTCATAAATTCCCTAGTAAATTATGAGACCAGCATAAAGCGGTTGGTGTAGTTATTAACAGAGGAAATCCTATGGTGCTGCAATTAGTGATTTTCAAACATGGTCTGCTCATTCTGGCCATTCTTTGGCGGCAGCCATTGCATGAGGGGCAATTTCTAACAGCTGAAAGGAGGCTCTGAACTGTGCTACAGGCATCCCAGGAGTTGGTGTGGGGGAAACTCTCTAACAAGCCCCCAAAATATCGTGAATTTTTGAAGAAAAAAAAATTGATAAATTTCTACACATGTGTAAGTCTACATGTTCATGTGGGTGAGGTGGTAAAGGAATGAGTGTATTGCTCGAGTAGGTTTATAGTTCAGCATAATGCATAACATAATAATTGTTGCTATGGAATTGGGAATTGGGTTCAACTGCACATAGTGCATGAAGGACCTTCATTAAAAAATATTATCACAACAGTCTTTCAAATAAGTAGAACATCACTGAAACATTTTGTTGCTGGGTACTTCTCCTCTCCTTTTTCCCCTCATACTCTTTTCACTATTCCTTTTCAGAACACATGTTGATTAATATCTCTTTCAACGTCTGTTTTTAATTCCAAAGACCATCTTTGTTTGAGCTCTTATGATTCCTTTTGAGTTTTCCTTTCATTTAGCTCTCTGCTGGTTTCTAGTACTACTTCATATTCATTTTCACACAATCATCGTGTTTTCCTTCTGCCTTCCCAGATGAGCCCAAGCTTCTATTTTCTGACCTCTGTGATTTCAACACAGCATAATAAAATCTTTACTTTGCAGAACATCCCTCCTTATTTGGATGTTTTAAGAAAAAAGCTACTTTGAAGACCTGTGTTTTACAATTAGCAAAGAGATTTATGGTAAATCATACCATCAAGAAATGCCAAATAAACACAAAAGCTAATATCAAAGAGAAAGTAAGTGAAATAACAGAAACTTACCTGATGGCATCCACTGATCTGTGGAGGGCTTGATCAGCGTGTTCACCTGATCCCAGTTAAGGTCATCGTCATCGGACTGACTATAGCCACAGGCAGTAAAGGGCTCCTCAAAAGTGCAGCATCCTGCAGGATAAACACACAGGTGAAAATTAAAGCAGCCGTGCAGATTACAGCCAATGAAACTACAGTCTTAACAAATTTAATTTGTAATTTTAAAAGATCCCTCAATACAAGTGATTTTACAGCATGTATTTATTAACCACCAGTTTCCGAGATGGCGTAAGACTTCGCGCCCCAGAAAGCAAAACCGCAGAGACAGAAGAGCAATTACAGTCTTTCTCTACAACACAAACATCACATATCATCAAAAGTAAGAAACCAAATTAAAAGCAGTCAAACCCCTAGTACACTGACTGAAACACTTGACAATTTACCCTCTTCCAGAAAAATAAAATAAAATAAAAAAAGAGAAGCAACTTTTTAGAAGAAAAACTAGAAGCTGGGGAAGATCTTTTGTTCCCATTCTCTTTCAGTTGGGCAGAAAAGGGTTACGTGTTAGAAGTATTAGATCAGCCCACGGTGGGGTGGGGTAAAATCAAACACCAGGAATTTGGAACAATGAAATCTAACATTATCCATAGGGAAACTGAAAAGCTCTGCTTCTTTCCCTTGGGATATAATAAAATTGTTCTATCTTTCTTGTATTGTTCTCTCCTAATAGGAGGGTTATAACATAAGGTTATGAAAATCTGTGTTTTCTGGGTTTTCGTCTGATGTTTGACATTTTACTCCAGTGAAAAATGACATGTTTTTTATTCAGAAAAACAAGTGAAATTCTAGTCATTAATACTTCAGTCCATATTAAAGTAAATTCTGCAGCGGTTCCAAGAAAACTGAGCTTTGGAGCTATCCATCATTTGTGATATCTATCCATACATACAGCAAACAATCTTGCCAAGCTTTATTAAAATAGAAAACAAACAAAATCTACATAACAAAATAACTTGAAAAATCTAAATTCTTCCCTAGAACATTTTAAATAGCATTACAAAATACCTAATGAGGAAATCAGGAAACCATACAGCAATTAATTATACCTTACAAGTTTCCTCCAGCTAAAGCACAGCCTTCCTAATAGCCATTCCTCATTTATATTTAAGGTCCATGACCTGTATTTTGCAAGCATACGATCATTAATGAAAATTGTCTTTGTAAGCAACCACTAAATAATTTCATTTTCCCCTTACATCGCCATCTATACGTATTTGTTTTAATAAACATGCCATGTTTGCCCTATAGGCTTGGACACAGGTCATCCTACACTGTTTTCTTTTCTAAAATACCTTTTTATAGAAACTCTTCATTAGCTGCAGGTATGTCAGGGAAATTAGCACTTCTGGATATGGCATCTTTCTATATACTTTTAAGTGCTGAAGTTTCAATTAGATATTCCGCTGGGAATAGAAAAACCATTAAGGAACTTGCAGTTCTAAACTCCAGCATTTCACCGCAAAGGCAACAACAGATTGAAAATTATCTCCCTCCTGAAGTTAAACAAATTCAGAAATTAAAAATAGATTTGTTTAAAGCACTCCAAATGATATCTGTTACATTTCTAAGAGGAAGTCTTAGAATATTAGGGAGCCTTTTAGACATTCGTTCTACTGCTTGACTAAATATTACCCAGTACCGTTAAAATCTTCCAGGAATTTTGAGACACAAAAGTAAAACAGAACTTTCCATACTTTTAAAATATTCACAGAGATCTTAAAAATGGCATACATTAGAGTTTACTGAGTTCACTGGACTGATAAACTTATGGAGTCGCTTAATACCTCTACCTCTGGTGATAACAAGCCATAAGTAAGTTTAAGGTATTTTCTTGATCAAGTGCAGAATCTGAACCAAGTACTGTAAAATGGCCAGTGCTGGCAAGAAAAGGGAAGGGTCTGTGATTCCATATGGTTATTAAAGGCTTCTGTCCTTTAGGTTAGAAGTGGCCAAGAAGATGGATAAACAGAACAACAGATGATGAGAAGGTTCTATGTGTCCAGACCGTTTCTCTGCCAATATGGAACTGTATTCTCACTGCTGTTTTTCATCATCACTTTTGTGAGTCTATGGCTAGATTACCCTGTCAGGATACTTCATTTTTTGATTTCCTCTTTGCCATTTACATCCTTCAAAAATTCTCAAATTTGCTACCTTAATTTCCTTGAAATGAGTAATCTTTACTGGCCACATAAGTGCTCAAAAGCAGCTTTTGAACTCCTCGCCACATCCTCCCAAGCCACCCACCACAAATCAATTGTAACAACCAGCTAAATTACTACAAGAAACCAAACTGTACAAGTCACCTGTGCAGAAAGTTGATCAGCAGATACAAAATTGCACAGGTATGAACTCCTGTTTTTTTCTGTGGTCAGCAATGAGGATAAGATTAATGAAGGCAGTTGCACAACTATGGCTTCTTCTGAGTGTTGCAAGTATATAGAAGTATATAGACGGCATAAAAATGACAAGGGAGGGACATCCAACTGGAACAGCAGCAACAACAGCAACAAAGCTGAGCCAAATTAGCCTAGCAATAATTAGTACAAACCAAGAAGAGTCCTATTTGCTTCCTGCTCATCTTTGTGTCCTGGAGATTCTGGCATTCATACTTGACTGTATTAGGAAGATGCTAAAATGTTTCTGAAGTTCTTCAGAGATGGGTCACAACAGTTGACAAACCCTCTATGGGCATCCACCCGTGCCCTCCTGCCTTGGGTCCTCTGCAGCGCTTCCCTGGCTTTCTGTCCACGCTGCTTTTACTGAACGAGTTTTCCACTCCATGAAAGATTAGCCACGTATGCTATCAACAAGCATCTGAAATATATGTAAAAATCTGAAATATTTGAAATCTTCATATTTTTTTACACAGTTTGGAAACACTAATCACCACCAAGTTCGGGGGTTGCTCATTTTTAATGCTTATTAAAATTTATTTTAACAATTAAAACACATGCTGCTTATTTACTTACATCAGAGTTTCTGGATTTTCATAATAACAACAAGGGTGGACTAAATTGATCTTCCTTAAATCATATTACTTTTGCTGATGATGGAAAGAGTAGGAATATTTTTTAAAAAAGCTCTATAGCTTAATCAACCAAAGCAATTTCCCTGCATGTTAAACTAGCATTAAATCTGGACAGCTGAGTTGTATTTTAAAGAATGATTCTTTTTAGGCTTAGTAAAACCCTGAATATGTATGCTGTTAATATTATTTGGCTTATTCTGCATTTTATGGGTATTTTTGAGAGGTAAGATAAATCGAATTGACAAACGTACAAGATGCAATGCAGCCTATTGCAACCTGTAGTTCGTTCACATACAGTTACCTCTTTAATTATCATTGAATTTAGTTCAATATAGCTATAGCACTGTCCAAACATTGGTTCCCATTTTCATTAGGTTAATTTACTGTAGAACTCAAAAACCTAATGAGCTTCAATATGGGATAAAGTGTACTCAGTATTTTTCCTTATGTGAGTTGAGCTTTACTTAAAGGATTCTGTCTGATATAGCTTAACTGAGAAAATCTGTCACTGAGCATTCTTTGAGTTAAGTGACAAAAGCCAACGTAGGAAAAGAGCTTCAAAGTTATGCCTGACACTTTGCTTTATTCCCGCAGGGTTTATATACTGCAAAGATCTCAGATCAATATGTAGTTTTTATCAAAAATATGCTGCCAAATCTACAAGTGTTGAAACTTGTAATGCTTGTGAGTATCAATGTTAGTATTGGAAAGGAATTTATATATGTAAGCTTAAGGCAGATACACAGGCTCAGCATTGAGGCAAATACATATTTTTATAGAAAAAGCCTATGGTTTCTGATCTGCCACAATATCATGCATTCTGTTGCAGAATAGCTGAGCTCAAAATTCGGGTTTACTGAAGCTAACATTATATTAGCATTCTTCCTTATCTCTTTTTAGAAAGATTTTAAGTGTTGTTGCATCTGATTTTTCAGTTTTATACTGGATATGTGTTGAATAACTGTAACTAAATACAGCTGTCCACTGGAACAGAAGCAAAGGCTTCAATATCTGACCAAAAAGCTATCTTGGACTTTGGCAAAGTAGCACAAGTGCTTCTATTAGGGAGTGGATATTTCTTTCTGTCTATAAAAAGGAGCTTCTGTCAAAAGGAAGATGATGCCATTCCTCAACCAACGAACAACCCCTCCTAGCAAACATCAGTTCATCCAACACGAATGGACCACCAAGGCAAATCATAAATGAAAGAAGTGGAAAGTGTGACAAAACACTATCTTTAAGCTTCGCTGGCCTGTGAAGGAGTCGGCTTTCACCCCTGAGAAGGACTCCCTCCCAAGGAAGATGAAACAGCATTACTGGGTTGCCTTGTGTTTCCTTTTGCATTTTTAAAAGTTTACATTTTTGGACAACCATCCTACCTAGATGCTTGCATGACAATTAATAAAAAACGTTTTGAGAAACACAGCACTAGGTACCACAGCTCCTGGGCTCCTGAGCTGCTGAATCAGAGACTAAGCAATGCAACTGCTCCATTAGGGGCTGATAAGAAGTCACAGGGTGGAAATGAAAGTGCAATTCGAAATTACAAACTGGCTAGCACAGACGATTTTTAGCATAAAAAATTGAAAGTGCTATCTCTAAACTGATGTGACACGTCTTATTTGCTGCATTACTTCCATTACAGATAAGGCGATGGCAAAAATTTTTCTAATACAAAAATCTCCACATCTGTGAAATTGATAAATGGCTGATCAAAACAAAGCTTCAGTTGAACTAACATAGCTACGTAAACAGCTATCTTCACTGAAGATTAAGAAATACACTGAAAAAGAGGACATAATGCCCTGTCTGGAATCTCCTTTGTATGGAGATGCAAGTCTCTAGCTGCCCTATATATATTGCTGGTAGACCATGACAAATTAAACAGGCTTGCCAGTCAGGCTAGTGCAGAAACAGGTAGCAAAACAAACTCCAAGAGCCTCAAAAGTGTGCAAAGAGCTGCCGCACACCCGCAGGGACACACGTGCACACCAAGGGCTCCTGTCCATGCTTCACAAGGGGGCTTTCAGCAACGGGTCTA